GTTTCAACTTCGGCGGGGACTGAGAGAGTGGAAAAGGGGTAATTATTCTACCAAAAAAGAAAAGAAAAGGGGGAATTAATGAAGAGTTAAATTGGACGGATTGTCTTTACCACGCCACTACAAAATCATTCGGAGCAAAAACACGCAGGTTCAAATCAAACAATAAATGATCAGCATTTATAAGCAGATATAAAGAATTATGTCTAAGTACTGATAAATGTGTCACGCTACAATAATTATGTCTAAGTTTTTTTAGTAATAAGGCATGATCAGCATTTATAAGCAGATATAAAGAAAATATAAAATCGAGAAAAAATAAGACAACACCTACCCTCACCCTTTAACCAATCGATACCATATGCTCTAAACCATCAACACCTTATAACCTACCCATATACCATATACTCTATACCATCAACAACCTAATATCCTAAGCAGTCAGTACCCATTTCCTTTAACATCAACACCTTATACAACAATCGTATACCTATACGCTGATAAAATTTTACATTTTGAAAATACTTGCCCAACTAAAGTACATAGGTACTTCAAAAGTGAAATTCTAACTTTCGTTTCAAAACATAAATTAAAAAAATATCCTCACTCAGTATCCAACCACAAGCCTCTAATTAGTCTACAAGAGGTTTGTTATGTACGAGTGCATTGCATAAAGAGGGGAAATCGGTGAGAGAGTGGAATGGGATCTCAATTAATGAAGAGTTAAATTGGGCGGATTGTAGTTTACCTCGTACCGCTAAATGTGTAAAGAGACACGCTAGCATTTACCAAATCCCAAAAAAGATGGAACACAGAATTATGTTTAAATTGCGTGAACTCAATGCATGATCAGGATTTTAGAAGCAGAAGCAGATGAAAATAAGTAAAACAAAGAATCGCCACTGAGATAGACAATTATCAAAGGCCCAACCTAATGACAATCCGGAACTCAGTATCTATTATCAACAAACTAGGTGTCATGGGTCATGTACAAGCCCACGTTTGAATGTTATTTAAAAGCCTGCAAAAATCAATGATCAGACCCAGTCCAACTAGAATTAGTCCTAAACGCACCGTTAATACATAAACACACATTAAGGAGACCTCTCCATCTGATTCGAATCAAATTAGGTCTTCTTCATCTCCTTCCTCAATCCTCTGGGCGAGACGAACACTGCATATCAGGAAACCTTAATTTCACCGAGTGATAGAAGTTTCGAGAAAATGACAATAACGCTAAGACAAGATGACAAAGCACTAGCGACATGAACCCTAGGGTTAGCAAACCTCTTTCAAGGGTTCTTTTGCAAACGAAAAGTTTGATGAACACAATAATAGACATGATCGCCGTAATCGTGTTAGAAAGAGATAGGCGAGTAAATTCCGCACGGAAATAAAATGGCGATGAACAAAACGTCGATTTGTGGATAAAAGGATTTGGGGTTCAAAACGATGATTATGTGAGGATTTCATATTGGATGGGGATCTTCTCTTCGAATGTGGATACATAGATTTGGCGTATGAAACATGATGATGTTGGGGATTTGAGATTGGATAGGGAGCTAAATCGAATGTGGATCAAATAATAAAAGGATTTGGGTTTCGAAACAATGATTTTGTTGGAGATTTCAGATTTGATAGGCAGCTTATGATCGAACTTCGAACTTAGAGGGGACCCTCCAAGGCGAATGAGGGATCGTAGAAGGGAGACTGGAAATTGGTTAGGGCGGCGGGTCGTATCCATAGGGTTTAACCTCTTAATCGATATCATTAAACCGGGTACAGTTAGGTTGAAGTCCAATGAATAAAGCATAAACGCTTCGTGATGCTTTTGGTAATTTTCCTTGCCCCCGGTTACCCGTACCCCGGATTTTGCCCTGGGCACCGTAGAACTGCCCTCAAAATATAATAATTTATACAACAGTAACTTTGCTTCTTCTTTATATATAATAATATTTGCATCAGTTGTATATGACAGGGGAGAATGCCCATCCGGCCATCCCAAAATGTATCAGAGGAAGGAAGTTGTAAGCAAGATTGCAAGATTACAGAAACTATGAATGAAGAATCATCAAGAGTTGATTTGGATTAGGAATTTGACTATGAGGAATTTGTGAGGGATTATGGTTCAAATATCTCATTAAAAAATTCAGCTAATTAAAACAAGGAAATTGAGTTAAATCACTTGTTCGATAATGGACACTACAAGAAAATGCAGATTTCGCGACGGAATCATCAAGAGTTGGTTTGGATTAGGAATTTGGCTATGAGGAATTTGTGAGGGATTATGGTTCAAATATCTCATTTAAAAATTCAGCTAATTAAAACAATAAAATTGAGTCAAATCACGTGTTCGATAATGAACACTACAAAAAAATGCAGATTTCGCGACGAACAATTCGTCGCCAAAAATATAAACCCCGTCGCAAAAACATAGAGGGACGAAATCTTGCGTCACAAAATGTGTTCACCTTGTGTCGCATATACCGTGTCGCATCTCATTAGGCGAAGATAATCAGTCATTCGTTGCAAATAGTTTGCCCGTCGCCAAAAGTTGGAACTATATGCGACGGTTTAACCGTCGCAAATGGAACTATTTAGCGACGCCACTGAAAGAATTTTTTTGTAGGGTCGGAAACTTTCTGCGACAGATACTTCTATCGCAAAATAGTATTCCTGGGACTTTTTATTTTCGTCGCGTATGGTCTGCAACTTTCGCGACGGAAATATACGTCGCAAAAACAATGCGTAATCTGTTACTTCGGACTTTTGGCGATGAAATAGGTCGTCGCAAATGATCCTTTTATTTGTCTGTGCCTAATTGAACTGGTCTTTTTTTCATTTATTCCTGTGCATCTCCTAAAATTAAATAGCCATAAGTTGGAATCCCTTCTTCTTTCATAATAAAGCCCATAACAGTGCAATATCGTTTACATAATGAGTATCCTTTACATGGACTAATAGATGATCACTACTAACTCTTTCATAACTCAAGACCTTAAACTACCTGCAAGAACATATACATATATATAAAAACATTCATTGTTGTTGCTCAAAATATTCATCATCAACTTGCCCGTCCATGTCAAAATTCAGCTTGCCGTTGATAATCTATACTAGATTCTTTACCCGCGCTTTGCGCTGGGATTTGAAGTACGTATAGAATCTGGTTGTATTCCAAATTGCTCCAAGCTTAAATTTTAAACATGGTTAATTGTAGAGTGATCAGAGCAAACACACAAATTACATTGCGTGGTTTGATACGGTTCAGCGTCAAAAACAACAATAACCATCTAATCCTGCAAGACACCAATAGAGATTCCAAGCTCCCACAAAAAGCACCTTGCCCGACTATCCATTTTAAGCACCAATTGTCCACAGAATGGCTTACATCATATATATATAAATCAACAACAGAATGCCATCACGCCAAAATCATAATGGATGCATGCAATTTTGAACAGATAATACAACATCCGATCATCCATTTCAATGCTGAACTACCCATAAATATGAATCTTACACATTACAAACATTTTTTCAGTAAACACGATGAGTAATAAAACAACACCAATTCAACTATTAATTACAACAACCTAAATGTCATCAACAAAAAAGCTGCAATAAGCAACCAAAGCTAGAGATAGCACCCTGAATTACGCCAGCCATAAACCACATTACACATACATTGCTTCATAAAACAAAGTCCCACTGCCAACAACCTGAACATTACAGAATAACATTTACCTGCATACATAGGAACAAACGAACAACAATGCCAACATAAGCAAATCGTCTATATGAAGAACACAGAGGGGCAGGGCATTATAACCAGACACAAAAACCACTATTTGCATTTTCCAATGCAAGCAACTTCATAAAAGCAAGATAAAATACTACCAAAACGGAAAACTACCCACGTTGATTTGGCAAAAAAAAAAAAATCATATCAAGATCAACATTGTTCCAGAGTTCAAGCTATAAAAAGGAAAACAAACCTTCAAGATCATAAACAAAATATTTAAAAAGGAAAAATCATCCATTATCTTGCTATGTCCAAGTTTCAGAGAGTGAAATCATGTTAACAAATGATCATGACACCTGTGATAAATGACCAATTAGGCTAACACCAGCAAGAAAGTTAAAGATGAATGAAGTAGGGGAAAACTCAAAGCTGAACGGTGAAGAAAATATGGGGCCTATGATGCTGGTGGAATGATTTTACTATACAAAATGCACAGTTGAAACTAAATGGAGTTAAGGATCAAAGACTTTCACAAATGATCCCTTGAGATATGTAGGAAAATAAAGCAAAATTAGTAAAGGCTCTAATCTGAGTTATTTGTTCTCCAGCTTTCAACTACATATGGAATTAAAATCTGATATAGATTATGAAATGGTCATTGGAGAAGAGACAAAACAATAAATACCACCATTTTCAGCAGTCTTAACCTGTGTGGCTGCGTCAATGAACTCCAATTTCCTCCTCCCATCAAAAGATGCAGCCCGGCAAGACTTTAATAGCAAAATTCCAAAAAAATCAATGATGAGTAAAGACAACATATACGAAAAAAGATGCAAAATCGGGAGTGGCAAGGAATTAAGTTGCTACTCACATTTCCCAATCAAGATTACGAAGGAGAACCCCTTGAAAATCTACGGGCACTGTGTCAAACAACGAATCTCCATTGCTGGTACAGTGGGTAGATTTCGTCACCCAAGTCTACCCACAGCTTCCTGAAAAGGCAATAAATAACGTCATCTACAGAGAAAACAAAATAAACCCCACAGAAACTTAGCAAAAAGCAGAGGAAACCAGCAAGACCAAATAATGGACCAACAAACTCACACACGCTAAAACTGGAGGGACCACTGCTTTTAGGACTTCTGGTTCCTTTGCTATTTGATTGAGTTTGGTTCATCATCTCCACCAACGGTAATCTGGATGGTTTGAAACTCGAATCACCCATCGTCGACCGCACTGATGTGGGAAAAAAGAAGAAGACAATGATATAGTCTCTATAAAGCAAAAAGAAAAAGAGAGAATCAAGCGGGCATATTTAGGGATTCTTCTTGCCTGATTCGGATGCACAACTTCAGATTCTCTACTCCGTTGAGAGATCCAACTTTTCATCCACGATCAGCAAGCCTCACACCCACAGATAGAGAGAGATCCAGGAAAACACCTGGTATGCATCGCCGTCGATGCCGTAGGATCCCATCGAATCTCATCAATCAGAAGGAAAGCTAAAATCATATCCAAAGGAAACAGAGAGATAAATATCATGAGGTTCTGAAGTTTCGAACCTTTCTCCCCATCGGAGAGAGGAATCTGGCGATCCGCTGACTGTCGACCGCTGCCGTAAGATCCGTCGAATCTCAACAATCAGAAGGAAAGCTAAGATCATAACCAAAGGAAACAGAGAGATAAATAACATGAGTTTCTGAAGTTCCCAACCTTTCTCGCCATGTGAAGAAGTCACAAACGGAGAGTGACTTCTTTGTTGCCTCCTTTGAGATTACACAACAAAGTAGCGTCCATTACCAAGACTAAGACATGAAGAACCGACGAACAACAGAGCAAATAAACCCAGCTTGAGAAACCAGGACCAGAGAGGAAAAGAGAATAGAGAGAGTGAAGAAGAAAGAGAAAGAAAGTCTTGCTCTAAGGCCACAGTTTCGAGAATTGGAATATAAACAAATCAGACGACTAAATGGAGCAAAACTGAACTAAACAGAAATCTCACATCATACACAGCCTTGCCATGCAATGATTTGAAAGACAATCGAGAACCACGCCAGCAAGCCAAATCGACGACTTCAAATCTGTGGGGAAAAAAAATAAAAAACAAAGGCAAATATGTCACCTCCGATCTGCAGAACCACCAAGTGGGGAAACCACTCTCAAGTCTCAACGAACCATCCAGGCTTTTTCAAGGCCCCCACCACTCAACTCACCCACGGGAAACCCCAACACACACACCCCTTCTATGGAACACCGAAGCAACTGACAACACCTCGTTTCGCGCAACTGCATAATCTCCGGATACAGCGAGATCCTGTGTGACCAACGCGAGCGAGGCCAACCAACCAGCCCACAACCCAAGTAAACAGTGCGTAACTACCGGTTCCATTCCAACCGAGCTTGCAAATCCCTTCCGATTCCAAACAGGCAACAGGCAACGCCCGCCCACACACCAGCCAAGGCCAGGATAGAACAGTACAACTGAGTCACGTTGTACAGTGAAAGCAGTCTGTGTGTGCAGTGCCAGCCCCTGCGGTGGGTTTTCTTATTCCAATAAATAATCAATCAAAAACAAAATTGTGAGTTAGTGATGACTCATGTTACTATGGAATTCTAATGATAAACACAATTGTGAGTTAGTGCCTTTTTGTAGTGGGATTTAGAAATGTTTAACGAGAAATTTAAATTTTAATGATAAACTTAAATTAATATTTTGCCCTTGTGTCACGTGGATTGGCCAGGGTCTTCTTCGGCTAATGACACCTCGATCCCGAAGCCTTTGGACCTTAATAAGGATGATCGATAAGAAAGGTCAACCGAAGCACGAATTCTCACTACTAATCCATTCTTAAACGTGAGTGGCCCTAGCTCCAGCTATAGGCGCTATAAAGCCCGGAGAAAGCCGCGAGCTGAGCGAGGATATGAAACGTGTATGAGGAGAGCAACGAATATGCGAGAACTAAGGAAGGGAGAGGGTAGATCCACTTCTGATTTAGCAAATCACTCGAAAGCCCACGGATAAAGCTAGTTGATAGACCGTTAGTTACACATGTTTTTACCCTCATACTTACACCGTTTGAGGTGTTGATTCTCGTGTTTTAGGCCGATTTCACGCTAGGTTGTGCTTGTTTGTGTTATTTCAGGTCCTAGTACGTGAATGAAGGCTTAGGAGCGAGTTTGGGGTCGATTGGACGACGAACGGACGAAGGACGAGCTTGTTGGGGGGCCGCACGGCCAGACCATGGAGACGCACGGCCGTGCACTTGCACCATATGGCCGTGCGCCTCATGCCGAGAGCTTGCACGGGCAGAGCAGAGAACCGCACGGCCGTGCAGCATACAAACTTGGCCGTGCGGGTTGGTGCGAGAGCTTGCACGGGCACAATCCAGATGCGCACGGCCGTGCGCCTGGCCGTGCAAGATGGCTGAGTCGACTTAAGTGATACGGTGCGTTTTAGGGTGCACGGCCAGAATGGCGATGTGCACGGCCGTGCACCCTGGCCGTGCAAGTCGGGGAAACCCGGTTTATAAGCAGATTTCAGCCAAATTGATTGGGGATTCGAGTTTTAGAGAGACAGAGTGATTCCTAGAGAGAGAGAGCGACGAACAAGAGCCTCCAAGTGCCCTAGATCGATCTTCAACACCATTGGAGCTTGGTTTGAGCTTGGAGAAGTGCCGATTCAACGTCCAGGAGCAGAAATCCATCTTCACAGTATGATTTCCGCGACTGATTCTGCTTTTGCTTCTCTCTCCATGGAGTAGTTCTCCCATTCATCTGGGTATGGGAAACCCTAGTTCTGTATGTTAGGTTTGATTGTATGAACCCAAGTATTGATTCTATGATATTGATTATATTCGATTGAGGTTTGAATGATTGAATGACTTGAATCCTGATCAAATTCCTGTTGTTTCTACTTTAACCTAGAATGATAGTATTTGCCTAGGTTAATAGAGTATCCTTGATTGAAGGTAGTGAATTGGTGACTTTAGTCGAGGAGCCAATCACTATTCTGTACCGAATTGCATTCGGTAGTGGAGGTTTCGTTCTTAGGGCCTCAATCTGTTTACTCCGGTGTAGGTTAGTCGCCAGCTGGAGACTCAGATTGAGAGGGTCTGAAGACCTTTAGTCGAGACTTCAGACTGTTTGAGAACCTTCCGCAGTATAACTTTCATAGAAATCGAACTTGGTAATTACAATCCGGCTTAACTGCAGACTAGGGGGAACCATATCCGGGTGACCTCTCTTAACCTGAATACAACCGTTTTAGTTACTTTGCTTGCTTGTTAGTTTAGAACTTCACTAAAGTTTCATTGCTAGATAACACGAATTCACTGAGTAGTCATCACATCTAGGACCCGGGTTGACATATAAACCTAACCCGCTATACTACGCTTTAGGAAGTGGTTTCACTTGGCCAATTCCTAGGGTGACAGTAACAGCGAGTCACTAGTCTATTGACTTGTTTACTATAGAGAGGTTAGCGCTAACAAGTCTTAGAAAAGATTGTTGGATGAGCAGACTATCTGGTCTTTCTTTTGTTCGAAGTCAGTGTTCTTACGGCAAAGCTGGATGCATGATCTTTATTTCCCCAACTCTTGGCTCTCTTCTTTGAAGACCCACCAATATTGGAAAAAAGGACGGTGGTAGATTGGTAACGGAGGATAGCTACGGAAGCCGCAACGTTCTCGTTAGAGGAGCTTTGGAGCTGGTGCAGGCATGTCTTTCTTCTTATTGTAGTTGATTGAATAAGGCTTCCCCCTTCGCTTCTTCTTTGTTCATTCGTAAATTGCGTCTTTTTAAGCCATGTCAAAACGGGTTCTATCATGGAAGCTCCAAGGCCGTAGTGGAGGATGTTCCGACCATTGAAAAACTAAATGATGCTCAAGATGGCGGGTTGGCAGAATGAACGGAGGATTCGCAAGACTGGTAGAGGATGTCCATCGTGACTTCCTCATTGTTCACCTATCGTGGCAGTCGATGCTGAGAAAGAGAGTAGTGACATGCCCAGAAGTCGGAAGCTCTTACAACTGAGCACCAGCCTCCGAGTTATAACTTCCCAAGTCGTCGTGGTTTTCTTATTTATAGGGCCTTCTTCCCCCATTGGTTGTAACACTATAATCTCGTTTGAATTTTGCTTGTTCTAAGATGTTGCAACCTTTTCCCTACTGGTGTTTAGTATTTGGAGAGTAGTTGGACATAGGTGCTCGTTATCATGAAATAAGAATGTATGGACGAGAACAACTACTACCCAACAAGCAGAAATCTTACAAGCAATGCAGTTAAAATCACGTTTTAAAATTTAAGAACTTACTTTTTGGATGCGTTGCGCATCGAGCTTCACATTTATAAACTCGATCGTCGACAATACTAGCTACCGCAATCTAAGACAAGTACACCCTAGATCGACGAAGTAGTATAGTGGTGACTGAGGTCGTATTCCAAGGATCACGGGTATCCCAGACTACTTAGGCTCGGTTGTTATCTAGTCAACCTGTTACTTAGCAGGCAAGGTAGTTCATGATTACTGACCTAGAGATCAATAAAGGAGAAGAGGTAATCGGGGTAACTCCCACGCCCTAAAATTAGGTTCATCATGCAAATGGGTAACTATGTTGGGTTTGCAGGATAAGGTGCGGAACTCGCTCAACCAGGGACGGAGCTAGCGTGTAAGCAGGGGGGCCATGCCCCCCCCCCCCCCCCCCTAAAATAGAAAATTTCGACTTTGCACCACTAGCATACAACACAAGTCGTGGTCTAGTGGTGAGTATTGTTGCTTCTACAGGGGAGGTCCAAGGTTCGACGCTTGCTAGGCTTTAGTTTCTAATTTTGTAACATTTTGCTTCCTTACCTCAACTTTTGCATGCCTTACGATTAGGTACCTTATTTTTCATTTTGGTACATCTTTTGCCCACTATCTTACGATTTGCTACCTAAAATTTGCATGAATCGTTTAAATTCATAAAATTTTGCTTCTTAATCCCAAGTTATGCATGTGCGATTTGGTGCCAAATGTTTTCATTTTAGTACACCTTTTGTCCCAAATTTCGTATGCCTTACGATTTAGTAACTAAGTTTTCCAATTTAGTAGTTTTTTGCCCATCGTCTTACTTTGTATCAGACTTTCTCATCCCCAACCTTTCTATACAAAGTTCTTCTACTAGTTAAAAATAGACTTCTATGTGTCAATATTTTGATAATTTGTGTTGAACTATAAATAACATAATAAACTCTTACTTCAAAATTTTTATCGGCCCTCCCTTACTTAAATTCCTGGCTCCGTCCCTGCGCTCAACTGAGGGTTTCAATGATTACTTCCCTCCTTCTAGTACACTCCCAAAAACCCATTGTCACCTCAGTCAAAGCTCGCGTACTAGGGAATGATCACTAGTTTTTCTCAATAGGTTCAACCTATCATGCACACTAAAATGATGGATAGATGACGCTTGCATCATCTCTAGCATTGTCTCAGGAAGGCGTTCATCTAGCAGGGGTACGGTCGCCTCGTCCACTAAAATGAAGCCTATGATCATTCATCTACCTTTAATTAATCATAAGGCGCTCAAATCCAGCCTAACTCTAAAACTCCCATCTAGTTCTAAGATAGGCTAGTAGAGAATAGTTGGAGAGACAAGCGTCAACATAATCAAGCATATATGAAACATATATTCACTGAAACAAACAAATCCA